TTGGGGCTTGCCAGGTGGCACCAATGAGCCCATCTGCCAATGCAGAAGACATAAGAGAGGCGTTCGATCCCTGGGTCAGGAAGATCTCCTGACATGGAGGGCATGACAACCCACTCCAGAATTCTTGCCTGGAGAATCCCATGGACAGGGGAGCCTGGCGGGCTACAGTCCATAGGATCGCAAAGAGTCAGACACAACTGAAGCGACTTAGCACGCATGCGCAAATGCAATAAATTTATAAGATGGCCTTTGACTATGTTGTGTTACTGTGTTCTTACTGGTCTTCCTGCTTCCCTCTTGTGGGATTTACACTGAGCAGTCTTCCAGGATACAGCGCACCTGGAGAAGGGGGAGAAGGTGGGGCAGCCCAGAAGCATTCCGGGAAAGCAGAAGCAGGGGAGAAAATATTTGCTGTGGAAAATTCAGAGTTGATTTTTTAGAGAACCCAGAGCAGATCCTCTGCAGCAGGTGGCAAAAGCCGAAGGGTTTTTTTGGACAACGGCTTTTTGTTCAGTGTGAACAGGAAGCGTTCAGGCCTGGCTCCGGGAGAGAAGTGAACAGAGCCCTGAGACCTGCTTCCAGGGACAGGAGATGAGAAAGATAAATGCTGCACAAAGAACAGATTTCAAAAGTTTAAAAAATTTATTTATGGCTGCCCTGGGTCTTTGCTGCTGCGCACAGGCTTTCTCTCGTTGTGAAGAGCAGGGGGCTACTCTAGTTGCGGTGCACAGGCTTCTCACTGTGATGGCTTCTACTGTTGTGGACCATGGGCTCCAGAGTGAGGGTTCAGTAGTTGCAGCACTGGGCTTAAGTTGCCCCTCGGCATGTGGGATCTTAGTTCCCAGACCTGGGATCAAACCCGCATCTCCTGCATCGGCAGGCAGATTCTTAGTCACCAGACCACTAGGGAAGTCCCAAAGAACAGATTTTTATAGCACAGTGCTATAAGGGGTCAGAGTGACTTTCCCAAAACAGGACAGGCACAGCTTCCAGCCCTCAAGGTCCTGACACTCTAGTAAGAGAGATGGACAATACTAGGTTCATTCAGGTGCATTCAGCCTATAATGAGGGTAACACTTCCAGGGTGCTGTGGGGTCACAGAGGAGGGATAGCCGACCTGACTTAGAAGATCATGGAAGCCTTGCTGGAGGAAGTGATGTAGCAGCTTACAGTGGAGGAATGAAGAGAAGTTAGTTGTTAAGAATTAAGTTAGCAGTAAAGAATCCGCCTGCAATGCAGGAGATGCAGGTTTGATCCTTGAGTCGGGAAGATCCCCTGGAGCAACCCACTCAACTATTCTTGCCTGGGAAATCCCGTGAACAGAGGAGACTTGTGGGTTACAGTCCATGGGGACGAAAAGAGTTGGACGTGATTAAACAATTGGCAATGTTAACTTTTATTTTGGTTTTTCGTACATTTTAAGCTGTAATACAAACCTACACATCCAAATGTTTATATCCAAATTTCTATCACAAAGGAGCTTAATAATGAGCTAATTATTAAATAATGAGCTAATGAGCAAGGTAACTCGTACATTACCTTGTACGAGTGTAGACCTCAGTGTTCAGTTTCTCCTGCCATTTCTGAGTATACTGGAACTTCTTATAAATGTGTCACTAATAAATGAGATTGTAGGCATGCACTGGCCTTTCAAACAGATGGATGTTAAACTGTACCAGTAACAAATTACATGTCAATCAGCATTTTCTTGGTACTGTACAACTGAGTGGCTTCCTTGGGGGCTCAAACGGTAAAAAATCTGCATGCAATGTGAAAGACCTGGGTTTGATTCTAGGTTGAGAAGGTCCCCGGGAGAAGGAAATAAGGACCTCCAGTATTCTTGCCTGGAGGATCCCATGGACAGAGGAGTCTGGTGAGCTACAGTCCATGGGGTGGCAAGAATCAGACACGACTAAGCGGCTAACCAAAACATCCGTAAGAAAGGAAATTGAAATCCTGAGGCTGATTTAAGGTGACAGCAAGCCCCACTGGACAGATTTGGGTTCATCAAGAGAGCCTCAGTGGTCTCAATGCCTGATTGTATACTAATTTGGGGCTTTAAATTGATAAAATATCCTTTGTATATGTTGTGTGTATGTTTTATACATTCAGCTCCTGTACAAGATATGGATAAATACAGGAGTTCCCTTGCTTTGGCCATTTGAAAACCACAGCTATATCCTCCCATAGATCCTACCACTTTTGCTTTAACAATGCCAGGGTTCAGGGAACACATAGTCATTCATTTTTCAGTGATCATTTCTAATGAGTCCCTGGTTGCTCCCAATTGCCCAGAATTTGGGATTTCTTCCTTTCTTTTTTTTAAAATTCTATTTTATGTTAAAATGTACCAATGAAAACATTTTAAGAATGTATCACACTTTCTGCAATCACCTGCTTAGCTACTGACTCACCCACAAAAATGACTCAAGCAAAGGCCAGTCCTACCTTGGAAGGTACCTAGCCCAGAGGCCCTACTCCATAAATGAGGGCACCTTCTGAAGATGGGGAGCTACTCATGGTAGTCAGATTGCCACTAGGCTCTGCCTGTGACTGAGACTGGGGTGACTTTCTGATGGCAGATATGCTCCCTTGGGAGGTGATCAAGCTGTCTTCTTCTCTCTTGGCCAGGGTGGTTTGTTGGCAACTGAAGCAGACAGTGAGGCAGGGTCCTTAGGTCTGGTTTACTCATTTCACATTCAGCCATAGTGTTGGAGCCCAGCCAGGTCTTTGGGGGCTTCTAGATTTGCTAGGAGGTTTTGAAATACAGTAAGTTCCCTACATACAAACACGTTCCATTCTGAGAGGGTGTTTGTAAGTCCAACTTGTAAGTTCAATAAAACTAACCTAGGGACCCAACTAACACAATTGGCTATATAGTACCGTAGTATAATAGGTTAATAGTAACCTGTCACAAAAATAATACACAAAAAACAAAGACAAGAATTAAAACATTTTTAATCTTACAGTACAGTATCTTGAAAAGTACAGTAGTAGATCACAACAGCTGGCATAAAGGGGCTGGCATCGAGTGAATGCACAAGAAGAGTTACTGGCTGGAGGTGGGAGAAGAGGTAGGAGTTGGTAGAGTTGAAGGATCATCAGCAATAGGAGACTAAGGGTAAGCTGCAATTTCACTTACACCTGACATTGATGGAACGCACTTGCAGATCTTTGAAAGTTCACAACTTGAAGGTTCGAATGAAGGGGACTTACTGTAGATGGTCCTAGTAGAAACACAGGACCGAAGCAGTGCAGCTGCCCTAGAAACCATTTATGATAGAGTTTCCCTGAGAAAATGCAGTCTGGGCTCCAAAATAATTTTCCAGGATCAATACATCTATAAATTGGAGACCACGTAAAACCCATTCTATCCCATTGGACCACTGTGCATTTCATAAGTACGTGTGCAAGGCAGTACAACAGCTCCTTGGTGGGTGCCAAGGGGGAGATGGAAAAGTTTAAGACACCATCCCATGCTCAAGAAGCCTCCAATAATTCCAGGGAGAAGATACACAGATAGATGAAAAACCTAACAACAATATGAGGTAATACTTGATGACAAGCTTAGTTGTCATTGTTGTTTAGTTGCTAGTCATGTCTGACTCTTTTGCAACCCCATGGACTATATAGTCCACCAGGCTCCTCTGTCCGTGGGATTTTCCAGGCAAGAATATTGGAGTGGGTTGCCGTTTCCTTCTGCAGGGGATCTTCCCTACCCTGGGATCGAACCCGGGTCTCCTGCATTGGCAGGCAGAGACTGAGCCAGGCTACCACTTTACCGCTGAGCCAAGTGGGAAGCCACTCTTAGGTAGGTGGAAGAGAAAAATGGATCGGGGAATACCCAGAAGGAAATGGAGAAGGAAAGCAATCTGCCAGGTGGCTAAACGCTGGGGCTCATAAGTCAAATGACCTGGGTGAAATTGCAGCTTCCCCACTACTTAAGCAGCCTGTGACAAGTTACTAACTTCTCCAAGTCCCTCAGAAAAACTCTGAGCGCTTTTGGTCCCCTCAATAAGCTAATTACTATTACTATCTCAGCCTGAGCGTGAACCATCATTTTAAGGATGGAGAGAATGTGAGCAGATCAGGAGACAGCGTCGCAGCCGAGTGTCAGAATCATCATGAATCATCCACGTGAGAAACTCCACGAGCTACTTTTGTTAACTTTGTTGGCATCTACCAAGCCCTGGGAAAGATTGAAGGCAGGAGGAGAAGGGGACGACAGAAGAGGGTAGATGGCTGGACGGCATCACCGACTCAATGGATATGAGTTTGCGTAAACTCCGGGAGTTGGCGATGAACAGGGAAGCCTGGCGTGCGGCAGTTCCTGGGGTCGCAAAGAGGACCAGACTGAGCGACTGAACTGAACTGAACCAAGTCCCGGACGGGAGGCAGCAATTCTGGAAACTTGATTCCACCCACCTCCTACGTCCGCGCTCCTCGGCACCGCCCCGCTGAGCGTCCAGCGACGGTCCCCAGAGGGCGCTGCCGCCCCGCCGCCGGGGCCCGGGCCCGGGGCGCGCCCCCGCCGGCTGCCCCGCGCGTGCGCGCCGCCCAGGTGAGGAGGCGGCGGCCTGCGCCCCGGCGAGGGCGGCTCCCCGGCTGGCGGGGCGGGGAGGCGGGGAGGCCGGGAGGCGGGGACAGGACGGGGCGGGGCGGGGCGGGGCGGTCGCGGGGCGGGGGCCAGACCAAGGCCAGAGGCGGGACCAGCCGCCGCCGTCTCCGTCTCGTTGTCCCGTCCCCCCACAGCGCCGGGCCGCCGCCGCGGGAGAAGCGGAAACTGCCGGGTGCGCCGCGCCGGCCCAAAGCGCGCCGAGGAGCCGCGGAGCGGCCTCCGTCCGGTCCAGATCCCGCCGAGTGGCCGCGGAGCCCCCTTCCCCGCGCCCCGCCCCGTCCCCGCCCGAGCTCGCCGCACGCCCCGGGGACCGGCCCCCCGCGCCGTCCGAGCGCGCCCACCTGAGCCCGTCCGCGCCCACCTGAGCCCGTGCGCCGGCGCCATGGCGGAGCAGGAGAGCCTGGAGTTCGGGAAGGCGGACTTCGTGCTGATGGACACCGTCTCCATGCCCGAGTTCATGGCCAACCTCCGGCTCAGGTGAGGGCGGCGGAGCGGCCGTGCGCGGTGCCGCGAGCCTGCGCCTTTCCGAGAGGGGGCGCCGTTGGCGTGTGGCCGGATTCGGGGTGCGGCGGGGGGTGTGCGGGGTCCGCTAAGCTCTCTGGTTGCATACCGGGGTGCGGTCGCATCCGAGTGGAAGGGGCGTGCCGAGCTCCGGGGCTGCGCGTTCCAGAGTAAGGGGTGTCCTTGGGTGCCGTCCGGACGGAAGGGTGGGTATCGGGGGTGTGCCGAGCTGGAGGCTGCGCTAGGGGCCGGGCAGGCTAGTGCACTGCCCCCAGGTAAATACTGTGGGCGGGCCGGGTGATCTAATGGAAACAAAAGGGAAATAAAAACTTTCGGGAGAGTCCTGGCGGCCCCAAGCCCCTGGGAAGACTGGAGGGTTGTTTTGCGGAGAGACTGGGGGTCTCATTGTGGTTTCACACTTGGTTCTTTTCGCTTTCGTCTTCTCCTTTATTTATTTATCTTTTCCTGGCGTGGTTCCATCACGTCATTCAGGATGCTATGGAGTGATCCCTGAGCCGTCTGTTCCGGGACACTGGCTATTTTTTAGTTACTCTCTAAAAACGTAATTAGACACGTTTCCAGACATCGAAGAGACTGCTCTGCTTTCCAGTGCCAAGATAAACTGTCTGAATTTGACAAGGCATTCATGGTTTCAGTTTTTTTTTTTTTTTCCTCAAGGAGTTGTGGATGGAGCCCTTGTGTTACTAACATCCTTGAGAATGTAGTCACAACTCAACGCCCCGGAATGGGCTTCCAGGGCGAATTTGTTTTAGAAAGGCTTTTACGTGTGATTATTACACTCCTGAGGGAGTAATATATGTAAGCAGAGCTTTAAAGTAGTTTGACTTAAAAAAATTACAGTAAATGGAGTTTAAAAACTGAGTTTTTAAGGGGGAGTGTGTGTGTGTGTGTGTGTGTGTGCATTTCCTGAAAGTCCTGATCCCATTTCTTGCACGATTTGAATATCACTCCATGCTGTGCTGTGCTACATTTGTGAAAATCTTAATCTAGGTTGGGATGCTTAACTAATCCCACTTCTCAGTATAAGTTCCGGTGTTAACTTAAAGAATTTTTAAAACTTTTTTAATCTTCAAAATTGCAATCCCCATAGTCATCATCTGCTATTAGCCAGGCTTCATTATGTGCCATAGTAAGGAGCAGGGACACAGACTGTTGTTCACCCACCACTGCAAAGGACTTTGAGCCAGTTTGCATGTCTGAGTTTCCTAATTTGTGAAATAATGATCTCCAAGATTCTTCTGTATTACTTTTTTTTTTTTTTTTGCTTTCACATATCATTGGTTGCAAAGCCTTGTTAGACTTGACTGTTAAGAAAGACTGTTAATGTGAGCATAACTTAGCTCAGAAGAGAACTTAGAACTTTGCAATTTAATTCTGTATTATGCAGGATACTCTAGGACAGAGGTCCCCATACTCTGGGATGATGATCTGACGTGGAGCTGATGTGATAATAATAAAAATAAAGTGTGCAACAAATGAAATGCACTTAAATCATCCTGAAACTACCATCCCCACCCCCCCCCCACCCCCACCCCAGGCCAAGGGAAAATTGTCTTCCACAAAACCCATTCCTGGTGCCAAGAAGATTGAGGAACACTGCTCCAGGAGGTAAGATGGGAGGATCCAAAGAATTATCAGGTGTATCCTTAGCTCTCAACAGTGTGGCATAGTAATAAAGATAGGGGGCAAAATGAAAATTTCTATTCATTTAAATACTAGGTCAAGAAAACAACAGACAAGTTAAAGTTTTATAGAGCTGAGATAGTTCTTTGCCAAGTAATTGGACAACCTAATTGTTCTGGGAGTTCAGCAGAGGGAGAGATGCCTTAGGCTGGCTCAGAAACACCTTCTAGAGGAGGGGTTGAGAGGAGTTGCAGAGAATGCGTAAGATCTTTGTAGGTGGAGAACATTCCAGATGGATAAAGTGGCCAGCAGAGGAGTGAGGTTTACAAGCTGATTCTCTTTGGGTGACGGGGCCTCCCTTGTGGCTCAGCAGTAAAGAATCTGCCTGTCAATGCAGGAGATGCGGGTTTGATTCCTGAGTCAGGAAGATCCCCTGCAGAAGGAAATGGCAACTCACTCCAGTATTCTTGCCTGGAGAATTCCACAGACAGAGGAGCCTGGCAGGCTACAGTCCATGGGGTCGAAAATAGTTGGGCATGAAAAAGTGACTGAGCACGCACACGCTTGCTCTTTGGGTGATAGTGAATTGAGCTGTCAGGAGCAAAAGAGTAGGTGTTGGGGAGTTGTGGGAGGAATCAGCTCTCATTTTTATGACCTTGGCTAATGCCTAGGTTTCTAGGTCTACCTTTATTCCCAGTCACTGGTTCAGTCAACATTCAGATGTTACATGTTTCTCACCTGTGTGTGTACTCGACCACTCTGAGAATTGGCTGCAAGTCTCAATGCACAGGTTCAGTGATTGTTGATGATTTACTTAAAAGTTGGGAGGATTGGTTCCCAGGAGTCGTTAAAGGGTAGCCAAACCCTTGCCTCCTCCCCAGCTGTAAATCCTGATGATCCAGGTGGAAAGCAGGCCTCCTTCTGATTGAATTTCCTACCACCCCGCTGCCCCTCCAGAAACTATTCCAGCGTTTAGCTGTGTGGACTCCTGGGCTTATGCTCTTGTGACCTTGGGATGTCTGTTTCCCTCTGAAGAATGTGACCAGAAACCCACTGTAGATCCAGGTGCTATTATGTCGTGTAATGTTTTCATCTCCCCAAATACAGGTGGTTGGTTCGTTGTTGTTGTTTATTTGCTAGTCATGCCTGACTCTTTTGCAACCCCATGGACTGTAGCCTGCCCGACTCCTCTGTCCATGGGATTCTCCAGGCAAGAATAGTGGAGTGGGTTGCCGTTTCCTTCTCCAGGGGATCTTCCCAACCCAGGGATCGAAGCCGAGTCTCCTGGATTGCAGATGGAGTCTTTGCCACTGGGTCACCAGGGAAGCCTAGTTGGTCCGTACTAAGTGTATATTTATGATTGTAATAGAGGTGAAATTTGAGTGTATTTCATCTCTCAATGGGGAGTGCACACACTCCATCATTCCTGCCTTGCCCAGGCTGCAGCGTTTCCTCTTCTGTTTGGAATGTCCTGTCCTTTGCTGTCTGTCTGGCTTTTTTCAAGGCCTCTTTGCTTCATTTATGGCCTGTGATGTGCATTTAGGCACTTATAGCTCCAGCTGTATCAGGGGTCTGTGTCATCCAAACCGAATTTTAATTTTTCCGACAGTAGCACCCATTGTGACAACATTTTTTTTCTTTAAGCTTTTGTGACATTGTCCATTTAGAATTAGCTTATTTTGATACTAGTCCGGCTTTCTCTTCCTTTCTTGGGTAAATGCTCTATTTTAGACATCTGTACAATTGATGTCACTTTCCCTTGACTATTATCATTTTAAAAAATCATTGTAGGCATGTGTCTGTGCATGTGGGTCTGGAGGAAGCGAGACTCAAAGGGTGATGTGGATTAGCATGTGTCAGTGTATCTGAGAAGGGGTTTCAGCTTGTGGTTTTTTTACCCTTATACCCAAAACTACTATTATCTTGAGGGCTGTCTTGTCTCCCTCCTACAAGTCTCTTGCTAGGGGAGATTTGTTCTACTGATTTGCTTTCCCTTTTTTTAGGTTTGGTTTCGGCTGTGCTGGGTCTTCGCTGCTGCACATGGGCTTTTCTCTAGTTTCGGCCAGTGGGGGCTCCTCTTGAGTTGCGGCGCTCGGGCGTCTCATGGCGGTGGCTTCTCTCGTTGCGGAGCACAGGCTCCAGGGTGTGCAAGGCTCAGGACTTGTGGCTCGTGGCCTCTAGAGTGCAGACTCAGCAGTTGGGGCTCACGGGCTCAGCTGCTCCACGGCATGTGGGATCTTCCCGGAGCAGGGACCGAACCGGTGTCCCCTTGCTTTGCAAGGTGGATTCTTAACCACTGGACAACCAGGGAAGCCTTGCTTTTCCTTTGAGTGGAGGCAGAGATGTCTTCAGCTTTGGTGGTGGTGGTGGTAGCCTCCTCACTCCGCTTCCAGGGTCCTATCAAGGAGTAAGATGCCTGCACAAGCGCCTCCCACCTTCATGGTCAGGCCTGGTTCCCACCAACCCACCGCACGGCCACTTGAAGCTTCATCCACGGCATCCCCACCATGTTCTTTCTGCTTTCTTCACAGCTGCTTCCTCTCTGGAGCCTTTAGTTCCTTTTCTTCCATGCCACATAGAGCACCGGGGCCTCACCATGTTCTTACTCACCCCTTAGCCATCCACGAGCAAGGAGGAGTGTGGATGGCCATTCCCAGGGACTTTTGAGAAGTGCTTTTCATAGCGCAGGAAACCCACCTTAGGCTTCCAGCGTCTGACTTTGTTGGTGGTGATTCCTGTTTTGAGAATAAGGCATCCGCCCAGCCTGACGTCTTGGCTCTTTAGAAATTTAACATGTCCTCTTTTCATACTGGTTCTTCTCTTCCGTGAAGGCAGTGGTTGGAAGCCCTGTGTTTACCAAAGCTCCAGGCAACTTCTCACCTTTAATATAACACAGCGTCTTTCACCTCTTTACTTAGACCAAGCTTGCCGCCGCCTCTGTGCTGTTGACAACACAGCGGGGTCAGGCTTTGTTGTGGGGGTGGGGGGGGGCTGTCCTGTGTGTTGCCACTTGTTCAGCAGCATCTCTGGCCTCTGCCTGGGCTTCCTAGGTGGTGCAGTGGTAAAGAATCTGCCTCCCAGCGCAGAGCTGCAGAAGACACAAGGGTTGGGAAGATCCCCTGGAGTAGGAAACGGCAGCCCGCTCCAGTATTCTTACCTGGAAAGTCCATGGACAGAGGAGGCTGGTGGGTGAAAGTTCATGGGGTCACCCCCGGGGATTCCCCCACCCCGTGACAGGAGCACTGTTCCCTTCCCAGATGACAACTGAAAATGTTTCCAGATGTTGCCAAGTGTCTCCTGGGCAAGGGGGCAAAATTGGCCCCAGTTGAGAA